TGCAGTGTGTGTGGGAAGACATTTTTAGATTCATCTACTCTTAAACAACACCAGAGAACACACACAGAAGAGAAACTCTTTAAGTGCAGTGTTTGTGGGAAAGCGTTTGCACAGTCATCAAATCTTAAAAAACACCAGAGAACACACAAGCATCAGAAAATCCACAAGAAGTGTAATCTGAAATCAGCTTGTGAAAGTCAAAGTGCTGCAATGACCCCATTGTTCATGAAACAAGAACCAGAAGACAATCCCAGCCTGGACACTTTGAAAGGTATCAAGGTGAAATATGAAGAGGCGAAAGTGAAATGTGAAGAAGTAACAGTGAAGAGCGTAGAAGTGAAGGTTAAATTTGAAGATTATTCAACTCCAAAATCGGACCTTCACATAGATGGAGGCAGTGTGAAACAGGAACTAAATTCTGACTGTGAGGCAGAGCGAGGCAACTCCCATGAATTTGTGGATGTGGAGGTGTGGGTGGACTTCTTAGACAATACAAAGTCAAATGGAGACCAGGTAGATGTGCAAGCTTCAGACAATTAAGCTCCAATGGATGCACCTTTGTCACAGGCCTTTCTAATGAATATAATGTGAAGTTGAACACTCAATTTCTAGGTTCAAACTGCAGTGTAAGCGTGGCCAGTATTTGTGAACCTGTGGGTTGGGGCGATCTCTAACCAGGAGTGACTCAAGTGTTTTGTATCATATCTCATCTTAGACACTCGATGGGTGCCCATTATGGGCATCTGCCCCTGTGTGCCACGTGGATATGAGTTTGTAAGTCGGGGGAGATGATTGATATGCCAGTCGGATTTGAACCTTGAACCTCTGCAATAATAGAGAATGTACTACTACTTGGCTTCCCTCTGAGAGTGCTGCACATATAGGCCTCATCTCGGCAGAGATCAACTTGTAAATACGTTGCAACGTGACGCAGTACATTTCAGTATAGTAATAAAATGTTGCCAATGTGCCCTTTGATTATTTTGAATCATAATTGAAAGAATACCCGTCTGATTTTGTACGTACATACAACATTTTGTGTATTAATGTCAAACATGGAATATGTGCTGTCAGGACAAAGTATCTGTTTTGGTGGTAACCTGTACAAAAACTCACGTGAGAGCTGTTATTTTTGTGATACGAGTCAAAGGGTATTTTTGTGAATCAGGACGCATCTGACTGGGGCAACTCATTGTCTTTGAAATCGGGAGCATAGTCGGATCATTCATCAGTTAAGGTATGCCACTTATAAGTTACGTATAGGAGATACATTCTCCACAAGAACACTAATTATCATTTTGTGTTACGTATACATTTTGTCGAACTGAGACTTGAAATGGACCTTGCCGATGAACATCAGTTGAAGCAAGCCGGACTGTTGAGACATTGTACACCAAAACCAGTCCACAGGTGGCTTGTACTGAACACATATGTAGTGCCATAAGAAAGGGGGGGCTGCTGGGGGCTCTAGGATCCTAGGCAGATAAGCCCTCGGCGCGAGGCGCTAGGATCCCAGGCACCCCAAACAGTTGAGCCCTTTGGCGCCACCAACGGGGGGGCTGTGCGTGCTCTGTGGGATATCTGGGGGCGCACACAACCCCACCCCTCGTTCGTTGGGGACGAGGCATAAAAGGGCAGCTCCCTGGCCGATCGGGGCCAGTTGCAGCTCAAGACCCAAGATCAGCCAGCTTAGTACCCTGGACCCCCTCGTCCCGCTTGTCCTTGTATGGGCCGGGACGTTGTGAGGGCCAGTGGTGGGACTCTGGGACTCCCGGCTCTACGTCCTTGTAAGGGCGAGTTCCGAGGAAGCCAGAGTCCAGACCCGCACCTTGGCTGGGTCGGGTCAATTAGCCTCCCCTAGGGTAATTGCAGCCGGAGGACCCCAGAGCGTAGCCAGAGTAGTGTATCTAGGCTGTAACAGAGTATCAGGACTGTTGGAGTGTTGTATTGTAATAAAGAAGATACCTCTACAAGTGTCTCCGGAACCCATTACACATGCATTCCTAAAAGGCCGTGGTATTTATAGTTTGTGTAAAACATTCCTTTGTTTCGTGTAGAGAACGTTGAATGAAAGATGTCTGCCGATCTGTTTTTTCTCAAGGAGGTACTTTAAAGAGCACATTTGAAGGCATCGTGGATTTTTGTTACAGATTTGTATTCTAGCCTAGGTTTTATTGAATTTTAAATTCTATTCAAATAAAACTTTAGATATATCTGTCTGCATTGCTATCCCACCTTGTTTACCACATGTTTACCTAAATATGTAGACGCTCCCTCTGAAGACGTCACCTCAAATTAACGAGTGGGTTACGTCAGGGCCTCCCCCTCTCTCTGGCTTGTGATGTCACCAAGAGCAGAACTCGTCTCCACGGAATCTAACGACTGCACTGTCTTGGAATGCATTTACACAGTAATCAAATCTTCACAACTGCCAGGGAACACACATTAAAAACCACTTAATGTACAATTGGAAGGCCTTTTGAATTGTCTTGAAACTGAAACACGTGTAAGGAGGTCTTCAAGGAGCAGAGTCTGAGATTGACGTGTGAAATTTGAAGTTCCATAAGCCGATCGTTTGTGATGCAAGGACCCAATAAAGAGGGCAGCTGGGAAACGTCACCATTCGTGAAGGTGACCTGTGAAGGCTCTAGGGTTTGACTTCCAGGTCACTAATGGAGCCCGAGACAAATCACATCCATTTGTGGATGTGGAGTTTTGGGAGGACTTTTCGGACAAGGTCGAGTAGAAGCAGACAGCATGTGTGACCATAAGTGTTGGGTAGGCCTGTAACCAAAAGCATGAGACACGGTTTCCCAATGTTTATTTCAATAGTTTAATTTTTAGTTGATTTGGAATACAGTACGTATTTCAATTGTGATGTAAATTTTAGTTGACGTTTACCTAACGCCATTACTTGGGTAAGGGTTAAGTATTGAATATCGCGTTTTTAGCTGTCGCGTGGCATTTTCCAAGAACGTAACCTACGATATTCAAGGGGCGGCTGTATTTTCTGTCGATCGAGTACAGCAGGCCTATGGTACCCTAAATAGGCTTGGTGCTTTGGGTTCCTTGATTTCGATGTCTCTGCCTCTGCTCACATTCGTTGAGGATTTTTATGATTTTGGGCAGGCCCATTTTAAGCTGCGTGACCAGGAGTTGGAACCATTTCCTGTTCAACTCGGCTTGTGACAGAAATTCACTCTGGCCCAATGCATTACATTTGTAATGTGAGGTTACACCTGGATAATAATGATGGGCTCTGCCGGCCTCAGCCCGCAACTAATGGGGAGTCGAGTTAGGGGCGTGGCCCTGGAGCCGTACATTAGCTTCGGGAAAGTTCCAGGGGTGTGGCTGAGGATTGGCTGCGGGGCATCACGTGGGCCAGGGATTTAAAGGAGCGGAGAAGCCACGTGGCTGGTGCCGTGGTCCGGAGCCTGCGACGTGGCGGGCCGCCGCAGTCTCTCTCTCACGCTGTCAGCCAACAGCGTGAAGGAGCAAGGGAACTGGAGGAACGAATGTGGTGGAAGCTGTGAACGAAACTGAATAAAGAATTCTCAATTGACGACGTCTCAACGGGGTTTATTACACATTACATAGCATGTTCAATAATTATGTAGTTTGAGGAGCTCACAATGGCCGTATAAATAAATTGCATTCGTCGCGGTTAAAATAATATGCTTATCGATGACTGGTTATAGTTAAGGGATTATACTGGTAGGAACGAAGTGAACCAGCCTACAATAGATTATATCGTCCCTCCGTCCGATTACGTGTAGCAACATCGCCCCCTACTGCAAACACTTGGCAGGACCCTACAAAAACCTTTAGACTCAGTGAGGCTTTCCTGGCTAAACAAGTGTAACATTCCCTTATAATTACCTGAGATAGTTTAAAATTAACTCACAGCGGCCTAAAGCCTACAGCTAGGCCTAAAGCCTAGAACTAGGCCTCAAACTCTCCCTTCGTATCGTAACCCCGCCATTTCATTTTATTATAGCCATTCATTTGTTCGTTCCTACCAGCCCACCCCGCAGGGACCTGTTTCCCTGCTGGTCAGCCCTGTTGCATCTGCTGATGATCTGGTAATGGCTACTCAATGAGATGGCTGGCTGAGGTGCCATCTCTTGTTTTGCCGGACACACAGTAACAATAACAACAACCGCCATTCGCCACTAAGTGGCGGTCACGTCACCATGGCGCTTGTGCCAGGCTATGTGCACGGGGTAGACCCAGGTGCCATGGGTCGACTGACTCAGTTGGCTGGCCGATGCACCATCTGTACCCCCGACTGTGCCAACACACAGTGTACACACACGCACACAGTTTGTACACACACAGTGTACACACAGTGTACACACACACACAGTTTGTACACACAGTGTACACAAACACACAGTTTGTACACACAGTGTACACGCACAGGGTACACGCACACAGTTTGTACACACAGTGTACACACACACAGTTTGTACACACAGTGTACACACACACAGTGTACACACACACAGTTTGTACACACAGTGTACACACAGTGTACACACACAGTGTACACGCACACAGTGTATACACAGCGTACACGCACACAGTGTACACGCACAGAGTACACACACAGTGTACACACACACACAGTTTGTACACACACAGTTTGTACACACAGTGCACACACACAGTTTATACACACACAGTCACGTCACCACTCATTAACTCGTCGGCGTGAGACGCCAAGGAAAGCTGTTCCACGCTAGTGACGTCATGTCACCAAGATATTCAATCCCACCCCCTCCACCGCGCGTTTGACTGGCGGTTCATTAACATAATTTATTTCATTGCGACGGGTTCAGCAACCAAGCCCAATCACCCCACGTGGGCCCGGCTTGTTAACATAATTTATTCAATTACACCGCTGCTTGTTGTGGGAGGGGAGTGTGTGATGAACCCCGCTAGGGACGTCATGTCACCTCCTGCTGCCGCGTGACGTCACGATATATCCGGAAGCTGCTGCACCGCGCGCGCGCTCACTGAGATCCGAGGGGAGAAGTTGACATCGTGGTGGTTGTTGTTGTGGTGGTTGTTGTTGTTGTGGTGGTTTTTGTTGTTTACCCAGGTAGAGCCTCGCTCCGTCTCTCGTAGGGATATCAATTGAGTAGCAGCGAGTATGGAATCCATGTCCAGGTTGGAACATTACAACGCGGGGCCTAGCCATGCGGGGCCTTGCCTCCTGCCCTCGCCTGATTGCATTTGCTTTAATTCTCTGCTTAAGTTTAATTTGTCTTCATTTGGCTCACTACTTTGAAACTTTGTTTCTTTTAATTATTTCTACAGTTTATTTTTTTATCCTACCAGGTCAAGCCCACTTCAGCTGCTATACCGCACTTGTTTTCAGAAGCGACCAGCTCACAAAAAAGTGGCTTATCCAAGGTTTCACTGTAATTTATATTCTTAGGTTTTTTTCGGTAAAGTCACGTAGGTAAAACATCAAAATTAATGAAAATAAAACAAAAATCACGACGTTTCGGAGGCAACACAAGTCTCCGTCATCAGGTGGGACCGTCACAGCCGAATTAGCTACATCAAGTGAGGCAATGATTCAAGATGTAATCCCTTATAAGCAAGTTGAAGAGGGGGGGAGCTCATCAGAATGTGGTAGCCAATGAATGGAAACGTATTGGGAGAGAGGGGGGCGGGGCTCAAAGACAGCACGGAGTGCTCAACACATTGGGCAGAGAGGGGGAGGGGAGGCCTGTTACATATGATAGACAAAAGAACGAAAATGCCCATGTTTATACCAATGCTGGCTGAACAATGAAGAGAGTACTGTTAAAAAATAACTGGGAATGTTAACACTCGGTAAAGTAAAGTAAAATAGTGCCTGTCAGATAAGATGGTCCAAAAAGGTGTAATTAAGTCTTTTTTGCGTGGTTGATAACATCTTTCCAATGATTACTAAGTTTGTACCCATCATCACGGTTGAAATTGTCTGTTTGTATATTTGTATGGCTTCGTGTACAAACCTTTGATGGTAGCCGGGAGGTTTGCAGAGAACCTTGGTCTCGGAAAAGACAATTTCATGAGAGCCCACCGAGTTGTAGCAATGATCGGCAACGGCAGAAGAATCAGTTCTGCCGTGTTTCAGATCTGACTTGTGCTTGCGGACACGATCAGAAACATGACGTTTCGTTTCTCCAATGTAGCAATCACCACAAATGCAACTCAATTTGTAGACTCCAGAATACTGTAAGTCAGGAACGACATCCTTCACAGATGGAATCAGATCACGGATTTTATGCACTGTACTGAATCGGACTTGGATCTTATGTTTGTTTAGAATTTTGGAGATCTTTTTGGTCACGCCTGCTATGTATGGTAACGTGATGGTTTTGGTCGGAGTTTCATGTGGCTGTTTCTGTGTGGTGGGAGAGACAGCTTGGCGGATAGTACGGTCAGAGTATCCGTTCATCCTGAGGGCCCGATGTACATGTCTTAATTCACCGGTCAGGTGGTGTTTGTCAGAAATGCCATGGGCTCTGTGGTATAGCGTTTTGATGAGAGAATTCTTTTGAGATGGGTGGTGATGGGAATCCGGTTTCAAGTAGGAATCTGTGTGAGTGGCTTTCCTGTAGACAGAATGTCCCAAGGATCCGTCAGGCCTCCTCTCAAACAGAATATCCAAGAATGGTAGTTTACCGTCTTTCTCCACTTCCATGGTGAATCTGATGGATGGGTGTCTAGAATTGATGTGGTCCAAGAAGTGGTTCAATGCTGGGAGGCCATGTGGCCAGATGACAAAAGTGTCATCCACATACCTCTTCCACATGGAAGGACGCAGGGTGGATGTCTGGATGGCGTCTGATTCAAACTTTTCCATGAACATGTTGGCTATAACTGGTGACAAAGGGGAGCCCATAGGGGTACCCTCATTCTGTTTGTAGAAGGTGCCATTCCAGGTAAAATAGGTGTTGGTGAGGCAATGCCTAACCAGCGCAGGTGCATCAGAATTCAATCCATGTTGGACTAAGTCCTCAATTATTGTTAGGGTGTCTGGTACTGGGACTTTGGTAAACAAAGATACTACATCAAAGCTGACGAGGATGTCATCAGGAGATAGTACCATGTCCTTAACCATAGAGACTAATTGGGTTGAGTTGAGTACTGCCGAAGAGGTCTTGCCTGTGAAGGGGAGCAGAGTATCTGATAGAAACGGGCTAGTTTGTACGTAGGAGAGTTTATCGTCGACACAATGGGTCGTAGCGGGGTGCCTTCCTTATGGATTTTGGGAAGACCATAGAGTCTGGGAGGTTTTGCCGCCGATGGTTTTAGAGAGGGACGTTTGCTTGGTTCGATTAGGGAAGTCGAACTCGTGATGATACTGTTGGTTTTTGTCGTTAGGCTTTTAGTGGGATCGTTTTTTATTTTGGAGTAACTCCCAAATCAGGTTAGCTGATTTCTAAATTCAACCTATCTAAGAAGAAATTAGAGCCACACATCGCAAAGCTGGATGTTAACAAGACCGTGATTAATCAGAGTAACATCCCAATTTCTGACACTCTAAAAACGGTATTGGCCAAAGGACTAAATTTCGCCGTCACCCCTAAATATATACCAGTAGAGGATATGATTTCTCAGATTGATGTAGCCCTCAGAGGCATAGGACACATCCATGTGGATGTAGCAAGAGCTGAAATAGCTACTATTCTTAAGAATGCTAAGAAACCCACTAGTAACATCAGCAAAAATGAACGCTCTGAACTCGCGGACCTAAAAAAGAGAGATGATATAGTCATCCTCTCGGCAGACAAGGGCAATGCCACGGTCATCATGGATAAAGATTCATACAACAACAAAATCCTGGACCTTCTTAATGATGGGAGTTACTCCAAAATTAAAAACGATCCCACTAAAAGCCTAACGACGAAAACCAACAGTATCATCACGAGTTCGACTTCCCTAATCGAACCAAGCAAACGTCCCTCTCTAAAACCATCGGCGGCAAGACCTCCCAGACTCTATGGTCTTCCCAAAATCCATAAGGAAGGCACCCCGCTACGACCCATTGTGTCGACGATAACTCTCCTACGTACAAACTAGCCCGTTTTCTATCAGATACTCTGCTCCCCTTCACAGGCAAGACCTCTTCGGCAGTACTCAACTCAACCCAATTAGTCTCTATGGTTAAGGACATGGTACTATCACCTGATGACATCCTCGTCAGCTTTGATGTAGTATCTTTGTTTACCAAAGTCCCAGTACCGGACACCTTAACAATAATTGAGGACTTAGTCCAACATGGATTGAATTCTGATGCACCTGCGCTGGTTAGACATTGCCTCACCAACACCTATTTTACCTGGAATGGCACCTTCTACAAACAGAATGAGGGTACCCCTATGGGCTCCCCTTTGTCACCAGTTATAGCCAACATGTTCATGGAAAAGTTTGAATCAGACGCCATCCAGACATCCACCCTGCGTCCTTCCCTGTGGAAGAGGTATGTGGATTACACTTTTGTCATCTGGCCACATGGCCTCCCAGCATTGAACCACTTCTTGGACCACATCAATTCTAGATACCCATCCATCAGATTCACCATGGAAGTGGAGAAAGACGGTAAACTACCATTCTTGGATATTCTGTTTGAGAGGAGGCCTGACGGATCCTTGGGACATTCTGTCTACAGGAAAGCCACCCACACAGATTCCTACTTGAAACCGGATTCCCACCACCACCCATCTCAAAAGAATTCTCTCATCAAAACGCTATACCACAGAGCCCATGGCATTTCTGACAAACACCACCTGACCGGTGAATTAAGACATGTACATCGGGCCCTCAGGATGAACGGATACTCTGACCGTACTATCCGCCAAGCTGTCTCTCCCACCACACAGAAACAGCCGCATGAAACTCCGACCAAAACCATCACGTTACCATACATAGCAGGCGTGACCAAAAAGATCTCCAAAATTCTAAACAAACATAAGATCCAAGTCCGATTCAGTACAGTGCATAAAATCCGTGATCTGATTCCATCTGTGAAGGATGTTGTTCCTGACTTACAGTATTCTGGAGTCTACAAATTGAGTTACATTTGTGGTGATTGCTACATTGGAGAAACGAAACGTCATGTTTCTGATCGTGTCCGCAAGCACAAGTCAGATCTGAAAGACGGCAGAACTGATTCTTCTGCCGTTGCCGATCATTGCTACAACTCGGTGGGCTCTCATGAAATTGTCTTTTCCGAGACCAAGGTTCTCTGCAAACCTCCCGGCTACCATCAAAGGTTTGTACACAAAGCCATACAAATATACAAACAGACATAATTTCAACCGTGATGATGGGTACAAACTTAGTAATCATTGGAAAGATGTTATCAACCACGCAAAAAAGACTTAATTACACCTTTTTGGACCATCTTATCTGACAGGCACTATTTTACTTTACTTTACCGAGTGTTAACATTCCCAGTTATTTTTTAACAGTACTCTCTTCATTGTTCAGCCCGCATTGGTATAAACATGGGCATTTTCGTTCTTTTGTCTATCATGTGTATCAGGCCTCCCCTCCCCCTCTCTGCCCAATGTGTTGAGCACTCCGTGCTGTCTTTGAGCCCCGCCCCCCTCCCTCTCGATACGTTTCCATTCATTGGCTACCACATTCTGATGAGCTCCCCCCCTCTCCCCCACCCCTTCAACTTGCTTATAAGGGATTACATCTTGAATCATTGCCTCACTTGATGCAGCTAATTCGGCTGTGACGGTCCCACCTGATGACGGAGACTTGTGTTGCCTCCGAAACGTCGTGATTTTTGTTTTATTTTCATTAATTTTGATGTTTTACCTACGTGACTTTACCGAAAAAACCTAAGAATATGAATCCTTGCAGTCACGAAAACTTCAAATCTAGAATTCTCTGTAATGTGTTTGTGTGTGATATATTGTACTAGGGTGGCAAGATGTCAACTACCTCACATGGTATTCAGAATGTCGTGGGTTCGATTCCAACCCTGACGCATTTATAATTGCAGTTTACATGTTTTATTTTTTCTCTCTCTCCCTGTTGTGCCATTGATTTTTCTCCACATTTTAGAAACATTCATTTTGAGAATTTTGCTGCAATACATTTCCATATTTTAACCCACTAAGTTGAGCTATCATTTGTGTCCAGGTCGATTCTGAAAAAGAGCTATGCAGCTCAGATGGCCTCACCTGGTAAAATAAAAATAGTGTACTGTGTTTGAGGGTTTTCCAATTTAATTTCTTACTTAGCAGTTAAAGATTATGTTTCAGGAGGGTCCTGCATTGGACTGTTTGACCACCACCAACTATATTTTGAGTTTAGGTTTGGGAGAAAAACGGAAAACCCAGTGGAACACCAATGCCGACGGTGACGGCTGACGCCAGGATAGCGGCCACGGGCTCGAAGCGAGGGCAACCCGGCTCTTGTCCCAAGAAAGGAATCCGCTCCCCGCTGCCCTCCACGGTGGCGCATCGCCGGCGGGGCTGCACGTTGAGCCCCAACTTTTCCAGGCGGTCAGTACCAGCAATACACTCGTGACATAACACGCTCGACACGTATAACTCCTGGTTACTCACCTGGTGTCCGAGGCGACCCTTAAGGGTGACCCTCCCCAGCAGTCCCATCCCACTTCCACTTGCAGTGTGCAGCGCACGATCCGGGGCCTGTCGGCGGCCCACTTCAACCCCGACCACGCTGCAATGTGTTGCACTCATGAGTGACATTACCGCCCCACGCGTCCAGCAGAATCCGGGTTTGCCGCCTGTTCACCTGCCCTTCCACGAGCCACGTGGCCCCCATTATTCCTGCCACCAGCTCCCGCAGCCAGTCACCCGCAGTCGCCGCATTCTGGGGTGTTGTTGTCAATATCTGCGTGGGGGTCATTCGTTACCATTATCATGACAGTTTATTTGTGTTGGGACCACGTGGATTGCACCCCTCTGTGGTCCCCTCTTTAGGGAGGCCTTGGTGTTTAACCCTGGTGCTTCTCTCGCGCGGGCGATCTTGGGACTGTCTCTCACGAGATGCCCCCATTGGTCGCATAGATAGCACGTACGGGGAAGGGCAGTGGCTCCATAAGAGGCCCCTTGCCCACTCCCCCTTACCTTCCCAGTGCGCATTTGTTCGAGTTCTGCCTCTTATTGAGATACTCGCCTGGTTAGCCCCCCGACCATGGAGCGTAGCCCTCCCACCTCGGACTGGACTATCTCCGCTGTAGACTGCAGCTTGGTAACATTCAGGTGTACTTGGGTCACCTCCCCACATACTTGGGTTACCTCCTCACGTACTTGGGTTACATGGCCTGTGATCTCCTATGCCGGTCTGTATCCCTGCCACCCATCCTGGGATTGTCTCACGGGGTCCTGGAGGCTCCCTCGTCCCCCCCCCCCTCACCGTTCTCGCGAGCTTCTCCTCTGGAAGAAGACTTGCAATGGTGTGCTCCTGTTCCAGCCGTCAGAACTGCGCACGCTCGCGAGCAAATCTCTCACACACGTGCGCGTGCTCGGCAAGGGTGTTACATGGGGGATATGGGCAGTTCGCATCTGGCTGCCACCAGGTTGTGCTTGTCAGATACTGCTGAACTTTCTCGGCGGCGAGGTCATCGATGATCTCGGCAGTGTATCCCAGGCGTACGCTCTGTGTTAGCAAGCGTGATTTATTTTAGTGTCCGCTCACTGAGATCTGAAGTGAGAAGTTCACATCGTGGTTATTGTTGTCGTGGTGGTAGTTGTTGTTTACCCAGGTAGAGCCTCGCTCCTTCTCTGTCTTGTAGGGAGGCCGCTTTGGATTGCACTACTCTTCGATTTCACATTAACATGCTAATTTATTACATTAACATCACTAGCCCCGGCCACTTCCTTATGATCCTTGGGCTACACCCATTTCAAACCTTTTACAACGGTCTGCCTCAGCAGCAGACCATGCATTTTCTAGCAGAGTGTTTTTGTTTGCTTTCTGACCACAAGTATTGTGGGTAATGCACACATGATTCCTTATTTGGAATACAGTACAGTACTTATTTCAATTGTGATGTTTATTTTAGTTGCCGTTTACCTAACCCCATTATTTAGGTAATGCTTAAGTATAATTATGTATTTTGAGAAGCTCACAATGGCCCTATACAAAATTGCATTTCATACAGTAACAATGATACGCTAATCGATGCCTGGTTATAGTCAAGGGATCGTCCGCTGCTGGTCAACCATGTTACGCATGTTGATGATCTGGCCATGGCTACTCAATGATATTGAGTTGGAGAATCGTGTTCTATACCTGGAGAATTCCATGACGAAATGGGGCCCTGCATATGTTCTACAAAAAGATCACCTCCCTGGGAAAATCTTGACTTAAAGCTTTCGTAACTGCAGGAATTCATATTCTTTGGTCTTTCGGTTAAGTGACGTGACTTTACCGAAAGACCAAAGAATACCTCCCTGGGAATTTAATGTCATACAACACTGCACCTGCTCAGCTCTCCATGAATAATCAGGTCGTTCTACACGTGGTGGAGGAGCTCCTATACCTGGTTAATGTGTTCATGACCTTATTTGGCATCCAAAGTGTCACTTCAAATTAGTCTAGCAGCATTTTTTCATTAGACTCTGTAACACTATGTGGAAGCTGCCTGGACTTTTTTACATACAAAGCTGTGAGTGTCCATCGCCAAGGTCTAGTCCATTGCAAAGGTCTTGTCAATAAAACAGGCAATAGTCTACATTATAGACTGCCAATACACTCACTGAGGTTAAGAACCAGGCTACATTTTCTACATTATAGACTGCCAGTATGCTCACCGAGGTTAAGAACCAGGCTACAGTCTACATTAGTCGTTTTTTTTCTTCTATTCACTTTATTTGTATTATTATTTTATATCTACGTGACTTTACCGAAATAACCAAGAATATGAATTCCCACTATCACAAAAGTTTTAAGTCAAGATTTTCCCAGGGAGGTGATCTTTTTGTAGAACATATGCAAGGCCCCATTTCGTCATGGAATTCAACAGGTACAGAACAAGATTTTATAAGAATGGAAACAGTCAGGAAATTAACAATGCACATATGCAGCTTAAGTTAGATCTGTTCATCCTCGCATTCAAGCTCATCTGAGCCTGGCTTCAGACCTTTAAGTTGCAAATGAACATTAATTTATACATTTCTGCATAATACAAATAGTATCAACAGCCTTTGCTATGTTAGCTAATTTTTCTTAAATAAATATTCCTGTCATAGCTAGACAACCGAAATTGTGTGCTTGGAGTTTTTTGGTAAATATTCATTTTGAAGACACTTGGGTGTCGAGTCATATTTATGACCATTTGCCCTCTCATTGTGTGCCTTAGCAGCCCGTGTGATGAATTAGGGAATCTCTTTCACTATTTCATGAAAATATGAATATGTATAGATGTGTAAGTCATGTGTGACTGTATATATGCATTCCTCTGTGCCTCAATACTCACGGAGATGGTGTGGATATGTTTTCTGTCTGCAGATGATGCTCGCTCTGCAGAGTTGGTCTGATGGAGCAAAGGCACTCAGCGCAGCTCGGTACAAGAAAGAAACAATGCGACCAGAATGCAAACAGCATGGATCGTACTGGAAACTTGACACAGCACCAGAGAACACACACAGGAGAGAAACCTTTTAAGTGCAGTGTGTGTAAAAAGGTGTTTGCACGGTCATCCATTCTTAAATCACACCAGAGAACACACACAAGAGAGAATCTTTTAAGTGCACTCTGTGGGGAAGGCGTTTGCATTGTCATCAAATCTTAAGATCCACCAGAGAACACACACAGGAGAGAAACCTTTTAAGTGCACTGTGTGTGAGAAGGCGTTTGCACAGTCATCAAATCTTAAGACCCACCAGAGAACACACACAGGAGATAAGCCCTTCAAGTGCAGTGTGTGTGGAAGGCATTTTTTTATTCATCTACTCTTAAACAACACCAGAGAACACACACAGGAAAGAAACCTTTCAAGTGCACTGTGTGTGAGAAGGCGTTTGCACAGTCACCACATCTTCAAAGACACCAGAGAACACACACAGGAGAGAAACATTTCAAGTGCATTGTGTGTGGGAAGGTGTTTGCAGAGTCATCACATCTTCAAAGACACCAGAGAACACACAGGAGAGAAACCCTTCAAGTGCACTGTGTGTGAGAAGGCATTTTCAAAGTCATCAACTCTTCAGACCCACCAGAGAATACACACAGGAGATAAACCCTTCAAGTGCAGTGTGTGTGAGAAGGCGTTTTCAGATTCATCTGCTCTTCGACGACACCAGAGAACACACACAGGAGATAAACCCTTCAAGTGCAGTGTGTGTGAGAAGGCGTTTTCAGATTCATCTGCTCTTCGACGACACCAGAGAACACACACAGGAGATAAACCCTTCAAGTGCAGTGTGTGTGGGAAGACATTTTTAGATTCATCTACTCTTAAACAACACCAGAGAACACACACAGAGAGAGAAACTCTTCAAGTGCAGTGTTTGTGGGAAAGCGTTTGCACAGTCATCAAATCTTAAAAAACACCAGAGAACACACAAGCATCAGAAAATCCACAAGGAGTGTAATCTGAAATCAGCTTGTGAAAGTCAAAGTGCTGCAATGACCCCATTGTTCATGAAACAAGAACCAGAAGACAATCCCAGCCTGGACACTTTGAAAGGTATCAAGGTGAAATATGAAGAGGCGAAAGTGAAATGTGAAGAAGTAACAGTGAAGAGCGTAGAAGTGAAGGTTAAATTTGAAGATTATTCAACTCCAAAATCGGACCTTCACATAGATGGAGGCAGTGTGAAACAGGAACTAAATTCTGACTGTGAGGCAGAGCGAGGCAACTCCCATGATTTGTGGATGTGGAGGTGTGGGTGGACTTCTTAGACAATACAAAGTCAAATGGAGACCAGGTAGATGTGCAAGCTTCAGACAATTAAGCTCCAATGGATGCACCTTTGTCACAGGCCTTTCTAATGAATATAATGTGAAGTTGAACACTCAATTTCTAGGTTCAAACTGCAGTGTAAGCGTGGCCAGTATTTGTGAACCTGTGGGTTGGGGCGATCTCTAACCAGGAGTGACTCAAGTGTTTTGTATCATATCTCATCTTAGACACTCGATGGGTGCCCATTATGGGCATCTGCCCCTGTGTGCCACGTGGATATGAGTTTGTAAGTCGGGGGAGATGATTGATATGCCAGTCGGATTTGAACCTTGAACCTCTGCAATAAATAGAGAATGTACTACTACTTGGCTTCCCTCTGAGAGTGCTGCACATATAGGCCTCATCTCGGCAGAGATCAACTTGTAAATACGTTGCAACGTGACGCAGTACATTTCAGTATAGTAATAAAATGTTGCCAATGTGCCCTTTGATTATTTTGAATCATAATTGAAAGAATACCCGTCTGATTTTGTACGTACATACAACATTTTGTGTATTAATGTCAAACATGGAATATGTGCTGTCAGGACAAAGTATCTGTTTTGGTGGTAACCTGTACAAAAACTCACGTGAGAGCTGTTATTTTTGTGATACGAGTCAAAGGGTATTTTTGTGAATCAGGACGCATCTGACTGGGGCAACTCATTGTCTTTGAAATCGGGAGCATAGTCGGATCATTCATCAGTTAAGGTATGCCACTTATAAGTTACGTATAGGAGATACATTCTCCACAAGAACACTAATTATCATTTTGTGTTACGTATACATTTTGTCGAACTGAGACTTGAAATGGACCTTGCCGATGAACATCAGTTGAAGCAAGCCGGACTGTTGAGACATTGTACACCAAAACCAGTCCACAGGTGGCTTGTACTGAACACATATGTAGTGCCATAAGAAAGGGGGGCTGCTGGGGGCTCTAGGATCCTAGGCAGATAAGCCCTCGGCGCGAGGCGCTAGGATCCCAGGCACCCCAAACAGTTGAGCCCTTTGGCGCCACCAACGGGGGGGGGTTGTGCGTGCTCTGTGGGATATCTGGGGGCGCACACAACCCCACCCCTCGTTCGTTGGGGACGAGGCATAAAAGGGCAGCTCCCTGGCCGATCGGGGCCAGTTGCAGCTCAAGACCCAAGATCAGCCAGCTTAGTACCCTGGACCCCCTCGTCCCGCTTGTCCTTGTATGGGCCGGGACGTTGTGAGGGCCAGTGGGGGACTCTGGGACTCCCGGCTTTACGTCCTTGTAAGGGCGAGTTCCGAGGAAGCCAGAGTCCAGACCCGCACCTTGGCTGGGTCGGGTCAATTAGCCTCCCCTAGGGTAATTGCAGCCGGAGGACCCCAGAGCGTAGCCAGAGTAGTGTATCTAGGCTGTAACAGAGTATCAGGACTGTTGGAGTGTTGTATTGTAATAAAGAAGATACCTCTACAAGTGTCTCCGGAACCCATTACACATGCATTCCTAAAAGGCCGTGGTATTTATAGTTTGTGTAAAACATTCCTTTGTTTCGTGTAGAGAACGTTGAATGAAAGATGTCTGCCGATCTGTTTTTTCTCAAGGAGGTACTTTAAAGAGCACATTTGAAGGCATCGTGGATTTTTGTTACAGATTTGTATTCTAGCCTAGGTTTATTGAATTTTAATTCTATTCAAATAAAAACTTTAGATATATCTGTCTGCATTGCTATCCCACCTTGTTTACACATGTTTACCTAATATGTAGACGCTCCCTCTGAAGACGTCACCTCAAATTAACGAGTGGGTTACGTCAGGGCCTCCCCCTCTCTCTGGCTTGTGATGTCACCAAGAGCAGAACTCGTTCCTCCACGGAATCTAACGACTGCACTGTCTTGGAATGCATTACACAGTAATCAAATCTTCACAACTGCCAGGAACACACATTAAAACCACTTAATGTACAATTGGAAGGCCTTTTGAATTGTCTTGAAACTGAAACACGTGTAAGGAGGTCTTCAAGGAGCAGAGTCTGAGATTGACGTGGAAATTTGAAGTTCCATAAGCCGATCGTTTGTGATGCAAGGACCCAATAAAGAGGGCAGCTGGGAAACGTCACCATTCGTGAAGGTGACCTGTGAAGGCTCTAGGGTTTGACTTCCAGGTCACTAATGGAGCCCGAGACAAATCACATCCATTTGTGGATGTGGAGTTTTGGGAGGACTTTTCGGACAAGGTCGAGTAGAAGCAGACAGCATGTGTGACCATAAGTGTTGGGTAGGCCTGTAACCAAAAGCATGAGACACGGTTTCCCAATGTTTATTTCAATAGTTTAATTTTTAGTTGATTTGGAATACAGTACGTATTTCAATTGTGATGTAAATTTTAGTTGACGTTTACCTAACGCCATTACTTGGGTAAGGGTTAAGTATTGAATATCGCGTTTTTAGCTGTCGCGTGGCATTTTCCAAGAACGTAACCTACGATATTCAAGGGGCGGCTGTATTTTCTGTCGATCGAGTACAGCAGGCCTATGGTACCCTAAATAGGCTTGGTGCTTTGGGTTCCTTGATTTCGATGTCTCTGCCTCTGCTCACATTCGTTGAGGATTTTTATGATTTTGGGCAGGCCCATCTAAAGCTGCGTGACCAGGAGTTGGAACCATTTCCTGTTCAACTCGGCTTGTGACAGAAATTCACTCTGGCCCAATGCATTACATTTTAATGTGAGGTTACACCTGGATGATGATGATTGGCTCTGCTGGCTTCAGCCCGCAACAATGGGGAGTCGAGTTAGGGGGTGGCCCTGGAGCCGTACATTAGCTTCGGGAAAGTTCCAGGGGTGTGGCTGAGGATTGGCTGCGGGGCATCACGTGGGCCAGGGATTAAAGGGCGGAGAAGCCACGTGGTGCCGTGGTCGGAGCCTGCCACGTGGCAGGGCCGCGCAGTCTCTCTCTCACGCTGTCAGCCAACAGCGTGAAGGAGCAAGGGAACTGGAGGAACGAATGTGGTGGAAGCTGTGAACGAAACTGAATAAAGAATCTCAATTGACGACGTCTCAACGGGGTTTATTACACATACATAGCATGTTCAATAATTATGTAGTTTGAGAAGCTCACAATGGCCGTATAAATAAATTGGATTCGTCGCGGTTAAAAATAATACGCTTATCGATGACTGGTTATAGTTAAGGGATTATACTGGTAGGAACGAAGTGAACCAGCCTACAATAGATTATATCGTCCCTCCGTCCGATTACGTGTAGCAACATCGCCCCCTACTGCAAACACTTGGCAGGACCCTACAAAAACCTTTAGACTCAGTGAGGCTTTCCTGGCTAAACAAGTGTAACATTCCCTTATAATTCTGAGATAGTTTAAAATTAACTCACAGCGGCCTAAAGCCTACAGCTAGGCCTAAAGCCTAGAACTAGGCCTCAAACTCTCCCTTCGTATCGTACCCCCGCCATTTCATTTTATTATAGCCATTCATTGTCGTTCCTACCAGCCCACCCCGCAGGGACCTGTTTCCCTGCTGGTCAGCCCTGTTGCATCTGCTGATGATCTGGTAATGGCTACTCAATGAGATGGCTGGCTGAGGTGCCATCTCTGTTTTGCCGGACACACAGTAACAATAAAACAACCGCCATTCGCCACTAAGTGGCGGTCACGTCACATGGCGCTTGGCCAGGCTATGTGCACGGGGTAGAAGGTGCCATGGGTCGACTGACTCAGTTGGACTGCCGATGCACATCTGTACCCCCGACTGTGCCAACACACAGTGTACACACGCACACAGTTTGTACACACAGTG